GTATCTTCAATCTCTCTGGGAATGCCAGGGCAAGTGCGTCACTGAGCTGCCTCTAGCAATCCCCACGTGTTAGAGAGAGGCTATGCCAAAACGCTCCGTACCGCACATTCCTCCTCTGCTGCTGCCCTGGCTTTTACCCTTCACACGTTGTATCCTCCCGCCACAGGTGTTCAATGCCCTGAGCTGGGCAGAGGAAAGTTACTGTGCAGAGAGTAAAAATGCTTCAGCCCCTCTGCGGCTGCACTGACCTTGTCCATATTCACACAGGAGCACAACTGATGCTTTCCACCTTACTTTCCGCCCCCAAACCACCCGACCCCCACTCAGTTTTTTTCAGGAATAAAGGAGACTATTAGGTGATGCTAGCATTAAGTTCATGACCTACTGATTTCTGCAGTAGATGCCAGAGAATAAACAAGGACCTTGAATGGCCAAGCAGGCAGAACTGGGAGAGGTTGCATGGGAGGCACCCTAAAAGGTTATGAAATAGGATTTTAAAGGGAATTTTCTGGCTCAGACCCATGCAGGCACTTCTGAAATATCTTAGCAGACTGGCTGTGCAGCCTTTTTTTGCTCACAGCAAAAGGTCTGTAGGTATTTCTGCTTTCCAGCTTTTGAGGAGGGAGTATGGAGTTACGTGATGAGTTCTGACTCTGAAATAGTCCTAAAACTCCTCCTCTGGAGGACAATCTAGACCAGAGCTCTGCAGCCCTCCTTTCTGCGCTGGGGCTCTCCAAACTGCCCCTGCATACCCTGGGACCTGGGGAGGAGAACATGAATCTGCAGCCCACTCTGGATCTCTTTCTCTTTTTCCTTCTGGTGTGGAGTAACTTTGCTGCTGCCTGAGCTGCTGCTACCTCCTGGCTTTCTGCTCCCGTGTGGGAAAAGCTTGCATGGCACCTGCTTGTCTCCAGGCCACTTGAGTGGGGATGGCTTGCTGCCCTCCCGTGCCCCTCCGCAGGGCTCCCTTCTTGCATGTGTCCTGGTCCCTCTTCTGTGCCAACCCCATGGCTTGCAGTCCATCCAAGCCAGACCCAGTGAAAGCACTTGGACTGAAGTAGCGAGTGAGATGTACATGCTAAGAGAGGTGGAAGTCCCTATGAAGCTGAGTAACACAGGATTAGGGGTGGGATATAGCTATAGGCAGGTTCTTCCTGGGTTCCCTGACCATCTGCACAGGGGCGGTGCAGGGCTGCTGCTTCTCCTCTGTGTGGATGTCCTTTATCTGAGGTCTGCATCACCTGGACACTGGCTCTGTATCCCCCTGCTCCTTTTGTCCAGCCATTCTTATGATTTCATTGTAAATAGGATTTTGTATTTTCTCTGAACATTGCTAATAAATTGTTGCAAAACTGTTATTGCTGTTGTGAGGTCTCCTTACTGAAGTGCAGCTGAAGGAAGGTCTGCTTGCACAGCTGGTGCTTCATCCCCTTAAAACAGAAGACATAAACAAGACTATGGCATGATGTGGCATGGCCCAAAGTTTTCATGGAAACCAGGCTGTCTCTTCTCTGGTTATGACTAAGGAATGCATCCTACGCAAAGTAATAAAATGCACGTGGCTCCAGCATAGGCATCGTGCATGAGAAATATTTGAGATCTGAGGGCCAAAGGGCTCCTCGGGTGAGGATCCTGCTCTCTCTTAGACTTGGTTTAAGTGGCCACAAGATTAAAAAACAAGTAAGTGGGGATAAGCATGTGTTGTAAGCAAGGCACCTGCTCAGAGGGTGTTTTCTGTAGCTCTGGAGAGCAACCTGACATACTAAGCTTTCTCTAGAGTCAATGGTAAAAACAAATGCCTCCAGAGAGCAATTCACCTGACCTAAATTAATGCCTACACTGGGAGGTGAAAACTCTCAAATCTCTCTCTATCAGCTCTGAAGGGCTGATGAGCGCAGGCTGTCAGACCTCTCAGGGGAAAGAAATCCCAACTGCAGCATCTTGTTGCAACAGATCTCTGCTCCTTGGCAGGAGCTGTGCCCAAAAGGCAGGTGTGAGATTTGTTTCCCAAGAAGCATGGCTAAACAGTGTGGTACAGCCAGTATGGTCTTTCTTGCCCACAGCTGCATTTTCTGCAGGAAGGAAATATTTTGCCCTGTGTTGTGCTGGCTAAGGCTCTGCTGTGGGACAGCATTTGCAGAAAAATAACTGAAGTGGAGCATTTCCATGCAAACAACAAGGTGGCCATGAGTATTTACATGAGGCATCATTAGCTGCTCCTGTAATTACCACAAATGGGATAAAAGGCTGATGATTCAGTCAAATTTCAGCACCTGGCTCTTGAGGAACAGGGTAAAAATTCATGTGGCTCAATCACAGTGGGACCACTCAGAGGTAAGACGCAGGGATGTGGGAGAAGGGAGGAGACAGGGAGATTCATCAGGGTGTGAAGGATGCTGGAAAGAGGAAGGGATCGTGCTGTTTCCCATGTCTATAGCAAACAGGACAGGAATTTGGGGGCCCTAAATACAGCCAGAGGAGACCTCAAAAAAACTGAATTCCACTGCCAGGAGAAGGGGGAAGTTTTTATTTATTTTTGCATTTTTTTTTTCTGCCTTCCTTCTCTTCTGTGCTTGAGATATTTTGAGGAAGGATGGAGTCTTGATGCCAACTCTGCACAGGCCTTGCCATGGTGTGGGGGATCTCTGCTGATCCCTGCTTGCTTATTCCATGGCAAGAACAAAATGCGAGAAGGGCCCTGATTCAGGCAGGAGTTGTTCACCTCATTTCTGAGCTCCTGGCGCCCTCTGCTCTTCATGCTGTGCTAAAAAAATCAGCATAAAATGAAATCCAGATTCCCTGTGTAAACTTGACTCTAAAACCTTCCCCTGCCAACTCTT